GCGCTGCTGGAGGGTAGTGCTCAGAACACAGTGCTTCAGCTGGATGTCCTTACATATTTATATTTTTAATCTGCATTTAAAATTCTCCTGCTTGGCTTTGGGGTCTGGATCCCTCTGATGTATAAATGACTTGAGAAAAAAAATTTTTTTCTCTAGTAACGTATGATACTTATTTTATAATTATATAATAATAATAGAATTCTACTTTAGAACATAAAGGAATTAACATGGCCTAAGAGAGCATAACTTTCTCTGAAATTGCCTGCCTTTACGATCATCACATGACAAGTGGCTGCAGACTTGGATTTTCAGAGGATAGTCACAATTCCTAGAGCCATTAAAGGCTTCTCATGACTCCTAAATTCTTCTTATAACATTTGGGGTATGCAGAACTCATGCCTTCCTTATGGGAGTCGGAACTTGGGGGTACACTAAGGCAGGGGGTGCCTAGATATAGGCTTCCAATAAAACACTACCGAACAAGTCTTTTTGCTGAACTTCCCTTGGGGTGAAGACTAGTAGTATGGGAACAACATGATGTTTCGTGTTGCAGCCAGGTCAAGAACATAAGGGGACTTTGTGAAGTTCACAACTAGATTCCTCCTGACTTTGTCCTGTGTCCCCTTTGCTTTGTTTATTTGCTTTATGCAATTTTGCTGTAGCAAATCTTAACCGTCAGTACAAGTATAGATGGTGAATCCCCAGTTGAAGGGCTCCAGAGAATACCTAACCTGGCTGTGGTCTTGAGAATGCCTGGAGCAGCATCTCCCCAGTACTTTGGCATGGAATAAATTTATTAATATAATACTTAAATGTATTGTCTTCATCAAGTTGAATGTTCACAAGTTTTAAGAGAAAGAACAAAGCCATATCTCACTCCCCAAAACATGGCAACTTGCAGTTAACTGTCTGACAGTTTTGGGGCCATGTAGGAGGAATAGTTAATTATAGACTCAGACCTCATTCTTCCCGAATCACTGAGTATGTCTCAAAGGTCTTGATTTACTAACACGAACACTACCAGTCTCTATTTTTCAGTTCATTAAATTAGGCCACTGAGTTTATGCAAAGTCAATCAGTTTGTCTAGATTCATTATGGTAAGCTGATAAGAATCACAAACTTCTTACCACAGAGATATTGGAAAATGCTTTATAAATCTGTCCTTCCATTCTTTCTTGCATTATTTATTTTTCTTACAGAACAGAAACTATTTCTTTATAAAATATTACTCTCAAATTTTTTTTTAACCTAACCATCCCTCATATAATTTTGGAAAATCCATTTATTCAGATAATGTCTCTATTTTGCTTTCCATTTGCTGCTACTAACTTTAAAGCTTACTTAGATTTTAAAAGTAATGGAAGTTTTCTTTGCTCATTTTGCTGTGGTTAGTTTTCTCTTCTGTAAAATTTTGTGTATCTTTATTCCTTACTGTTTTTCTCATCGGAAACATCTCTTTTATTTAATTGGTGACTCATAAATCAATTAAAATAAATTATTTTACAGCATTAGAAATTTATCATTTTAAGATTTATTTAACACTGAGGTTTTCGCTTGTTTAATATGTTACACAGATTTTTATTACCCCTTTTGGTCAAGAGCAGAACAGATGGCAGTAATGGAAATCAGCATTACTTTTGTTAATTCTGCATTTAATTCCATATGCTATACTGATTAATGTTTTCTTTTTTATTTACTTTTTTAATGCTCATTGCAAAAGTAAGGATTACAGTTCCATGTGGACCACTGGGTGTGAAGGAGAGGATTGAGATGTGGGAGAGAGGATGACAGAAATGCTTGCGCCATCTCTCCTGTGTTGGGGTGGGGAGCTGCACTGCTCCTTGTTGTCAAACTACATCAGTGCCAGGCGATGAACAAGGCCCCTTGTTGCTTCTTCAGAGACCTTGGTGGGGGGAAGTATGTCCTCAGGTTATTACTTGAGTGGTGGATGGGTAAGATTGACATGGAGCAAGGGAGGCGAGACTTCTGGCTTGTGGATTCTTATTGCTGGCTGGAGGCTTTCACTCCAGTGTCTGTGGCTGTGTCCCCCACATTGAACATATGATTGATTTTATTATATAATAGATGACCTGTGTCACCCACATTGAACATGTGATTGATATTATTATATAATAGATGACCTGTTCCAACTATCATCATTTAGGCTCTTCATTGTTCGCTCTGTACATGCTCTAAGGCCTATTGTTTGCCCATCGCTACCCTAGAGTGTCCACAGATTTAGGTGCTTTCTGTTGAACTTGAGATTTTGTGCCACTTGGATTTCTTCCCTCTTTTTGGTGGAGTACATAAGTTTTTCTTCTGAATAAAAGGAGCTGTGTTGTATTTCATGTGCATCTGGGTATGCTTTTCATCCTTGTATTGGAGTTAATAGTGGAGGTGGCCTGATCTTGTAACACATGTTCCTCAGCTGGACTGTATGTCTGTGGGATATTTCCTGAAATGAGAACCCTGCCCATTTATGACACTCATGCATTGGTGAGCCCACTCCTGAGCATTGGCCACCGACCTGGCCAACTCCAGCTCAAATTCGCATGCTCTCATAGATGCTATGGCCTGGTCTGCAGCACTACCATACCCATATCTCATATATTTCTGCAAGTATGTCTCTTGGACAGAGGGGTCCTTCAGAAACTCCACCAGGCTGCCCCCCACCACAGTTTCCATGAGTTAGTCGAATGCAGTGATATGACTTGGTTTGCCATCAGGCTCATTTCTCAGGTGCACTGGTAAATACAGCAGTCCAGCTGGGTAGATCCCTTGGACCCATACTAGGTTAATCCTCAGAATCAGCTCTTGAGTGTGCCAGTGAGCATAATGTCCTAACCTAGCCTGCCCCCACATCTGGCACTCGTGGATGCAGGTGGGTGGTGTGGGCTGGGACAGGCTGGTCCCAGACCCAGCTGTAATATTCACTAGTGGAGAGAGGTATTTTCTTGTTCCTAATTAAATTCATTTCCCATTTTGCTTTTCAGTGAATCATGATAGCATTGCTTCACCGCTCAATTCCAACTCCCCCAACCAAATAATATAGCTACCTAGAACACATTTTGCCTGCAGTTTCTGTGGTAGAAATTGACAAGTAATATCCACAAGTTCAATGTGGTGATTGTAGGTAGGGTCAGTGTAGAGTTGCAGAGACTGGAAACAGCTAGAATCTACGTTCTTAGGAGCGGTCAAATTAAAAGCTTCAAGATACTCTTCAGCCAGAACAAATTCAGTGTCTTCCAGACAACTTGTGGTCTCTGGTTTCTGTAGTCATGTCTTTAGCTCTATCCAAAATATTTACTGTTTCAGCCTAAAGCGATCTTTCATTTAACCTTTCACAAGAAAAGTCAATAATTGTAGAGAAATTATTAAAGAGATTTGCATGATCTTTTGAAAACACTGTATTAAAAGACTGTTGACATACAAATTTATTGTTCTCTTCCTGAAATTTTCATCTCTTGTGTAACTTTCATGTCTTGACAAAAATATAGATGTATGTTAATTGATGGGGTTTATAGGCTTTTTATGCCTTCTTCCTCTTAAAAGTCAGCTTATTAATTAAAGGAACATTTTTAATCAAATGAAGTTAAAAATATGTAAAATAATTTTGGTTGTATATTGTTGAAGGGTATTTTTTTCTAAAACTATCACACGAGAATTTTCCGCTTAAACTGTCAGTGAATATGCATTAGTGGAAAAAACAAATTCCACCTTCAAGTTTGCTTAAGTAACACATTTTGAAGTCCCTGCCTCCTGTTACATATCTACTAGACTATGTTAGAATTCAGTTTTACTTTTTTTCCTACACTTAGCTTTTAAGTTTTCAAAACCCCAATGTAGATTATTTTAACTTATTTAAGGAAGTTAATTACCAACAACACTTATTTCCCTGAAATTTAGATTTATTTTTCTTGAATTGATTGTGATAACTTAATCTCAACTTGTGTCAGATTGCTCTTTAATATACAGAAGGGTGAAAAACTACATATATTTCAGCTGGATTGAAGATTTGTGTTCACTATTACAGCTTTGTCATTAAACTAAATGAGGTATTAAAGTCTTAAAACCAAAGTTATAATAAGATAGGGAACTCAACCATAACTGTATGACTAACAGAAATACAATTGATGATGCCCTTTTTTCAGTTGTCCAAAATAGACTTGTTTCGTGTGGTGTTTTTAATTGAGCTACAGAGTTCTTTGTTTTGCCTCTATTCTTATGGTTATATAACTTGTCTGTCTTCCTTATTAAATAGATTCTTGGTAATCAAATTTTTTTTCATGTGTTATCTACAAAACAATAGTAAGTGTAATATTGTTTACCGTGTGCTTATTTTTTCTAAAAGTTGTTTTTACCATTCATTGTTTATTTTATATTATATCTGTTTGAAGTTGTGTCACAAAGAAATACTTAAGCATAAAGTTTAGAAGTCCTTTTTCTACTGGTAATGAAAATACGTTTCCTGAAAGGGGAAAAATTCAGATAGTTAGTAGTGATGTTTTGTTTGAAAAGCAGATATCAGGGGAGAGAACTCTTTTCTACTGACTCATTCCCCCAAATGCCTGCATCAACAAGGGATAGACCTGGCCAGAACGTGCACCCAGAAACGCATGTGGCTTGTAGGAGTCTAAGCACTTAAGCACCATGCATGCCTTCCAGGATGCTTGGCAGGAAACTGGAATTGGGAGTGGACTTCATAGTACAAATACTTGTGCAGTGCTGTGATAGTGTCCTGCTTGCTGGGGACATAGCGTTTAACAAAACAGAGTCAGCTCCTGGAGTCTCGGAATTTTTTTTTCCCTCAATAGCTTCATTTAGAGTGAATTTCATAAAACAAATAACATATTTGTCAGGAATTTGCTGATTATTTTATAATGCTTTTGTTGAACATCTGGATTCTTGGGAAAGTGATTTAGAATTTCATTAACACATGGCAAGAATATAGTGAAAATGATCCCTTTGTGCTAAAATTCATGTTTCTTTCATATTTTAGCTGGGAAGTTTTGAGATTTCTTTTGTCAAATATAAGATGGTGGTTGGAAGAGTACGGCTTTGATGGATTCCGTTTTGATGGCGTTACATCCATGCTCTATCATCACCATGGAGTGGGTAGGTAACTGACCCGTCACAGATGACACTAAAACCTCAAATCTATTTATTTATTTATTCATTTATTTATTTTTTTTATTTTAAAGATTTATTCACTTTGATGGAAGTGCCAGATGCACAGAGAGGAGAGGCAGAGAGAAAGATTGCCCATCTACTTGTCCCATGTGCTCGCAAAGGCTAAAGCTGATCTGATCTAAAGCCAGGAGCCACTTGCTTTTTCTTGGCCTCCCAACCTGGTGCACGGTCGCACGGCTTTGTGTCATCCTCCACTGTTTTCCAAGGGCACAAGCAGGAAGCTGGATGGGCAATAGAACATCTGGGACATAAAGTGGTGTCCATATGAGATCCCAGCACTTGCATGGCAAGGATTTAGCCACTGAGCCATTGCACTGGGCCCTACTTGTTTATTTAATGTGAGAAAATTATAACCAGGTTTTAATTTCAGTTACGGAGTGTTCAGTGACTGTTATGGGTAGCTTGATTTTTATGAATTTCACTGTGCATGTCTTCTCTGTAGTCACTTTGATTCCTATTTTGTAAGATATAAACATAAATACCTTCTACAAATAAGTAAAATTTTCCTTTGAATTGAGCTTTAACGAAGATTTTCATTTAACTCTTTGAAAGAGTTGCAGGAAGAGAGGAAGAGACAGCCATATTCCATTTGCTGGTTTTCCCTTCAAAGGCTACAATGTCCAAGGTTGGGTCAGATGCAAACCAAGAGGCAAGTACTGTATCTGAGTTTCCCACGTGGGCGCAGTGCTCCAAACACTTCGACCATTTTCCACTGCTTTTCCCAGACCCTGATCACACATTTGGATTAGAAGTAGAGCAGCTGGAACAGGAAGTAGTACCCTTATTAAATGCCAGCATCACACGTGGTTGTTTTTCCTTGCTCTGCCTCAATATTGACCACTAACTTCTAACTTCTTAGTAGCATATTGTCTTTAATATGTAGCTCTTTCAAAATTCATTTAAAAAACCATTTGTTGGGACTGATGCAGCAGTGTCATGGCTGAAGTCCTCACTTTAACACCCAGGATCCCATGTGGGTAGTAGTTCTAATCCCATCCACTCCCTGCTTATGTAGCCTGGAAAAGCAGTCGAGGATGGCCCAAAGCCTTGGGACCCTGCAACAACATTGGAGATGCAGAAGAGGCTCCTGGCTCCTGGCATTGGATCGGTGCAGCACCAGCCTTAGTGGCCGCTTCGGGAGTGAAACAATAGACAAAAGATCTTCCTCTCTGTCCTCTCTGTCTGTTCTCCATATATATGTGTATATATATATATATATATATATATATATATATATATATATGTGTGTGTGTGTGTGTGTGTGTGTATGACTTTATAATATAAGTAATATAAGTTAAAAAAAAATAGATATAAGTATATTTGAAATAGAAAGGGAGAAATAGAGATAGGCAAACAGAGAACTCCAGCATCAGAAAGTGTGTGTGTGTGTGTGTGTGTGTGTGTGTGTGTGTGTGTGTCTGTCTGTCTGAAAGAGCGAGAGATCTCCCATTTGCTGGTTTACTATCCAAATGCCTGCTATAACTAGGGTGGTGTTTGCCAGTGTCTTTCTTGTGGGTCACAGAGACTTACCTACTTAAGCTGGAACTTGCTGTCTCCCACAGTGCATAGCAGTTGGAAGCTGTAATTGGGAGTAGAGCTAGGTCTCAAACTCACTTAGGAACTCAAGTATAGAATGTGGATATCCCAAAGACTACCTTACACACTGTAAACAACTCTCAGTCCTACTTATTCTTAATCATGGTGCTTCCTCTAGGAAACACTTGCAGGACAAGGTGAGTTGTATAACACGCCTGGGTCATTATTTCTTCCCATCCAGGAGGAGCTAACTTAGGGCATAGGGAAGTAAATGTGGCCAATGTGAAGATCCTTTGCTGGATTACATCACTTGGCATGCCCTCCAGAAATTCACTCTGTTGAGGTTGGGTATCTTTCAGAAGTCTGTGCTCTAGGGAAATGAACTAAGTTCAAGGATATAAGATTTTTTTTTTTTTTTAGCAGACTAAGAACTTGTTTAAACAAAAATGAAGAATTACTCAACATCTTTTTCTCCATCAGAAAATTAACCCTAAGGCTGCTCAGTAAAAGGTTTCATATTATATCTGAGTAACTCAAGTTAAACAGTTTACATCAAGACACAGAGTATTTTATTTGGTAATTCAGTGATGAAGAGAAATTCATCTTAAAATTTCTAGAAAGGAAAGAAGTTTTTGTTTTAGTTTTTGTTTTAGCTGTATGACTAAAATGTGTGACTGGATCCACATTTCAATGCAAGAAATAATGTATATAAAATTCTTAGGGAAAAAATGTGACTCAAGAATTGTATCATAGGCCTGTGTTGTGACACATTGGATTAAGTTATGTATTATGACACTGGAGTCCCATGTCAGAATACCAGTTCAATTCCTAGCTTCTTTCCTTCTGATCCAACTTCCTGCTAATGTTCCTGAAAAAGCATTAGAAAATGGCTAAAATGCTTGTATCCCTGACACTCTGATGGAGCTCTGGGCTCTGACTTTGGCCTGGCATAGCCCTGGCCACTGCAACCATTTGCAGAGCCAACCAGAACAAGATCTCATTTTCTCTCTCTCTCTCTCTTCCTCTTTCTGTTTTACTCTGCCTTTCAAGTAAGTGAAATAAATCTATTATGGGGAAAAGAAAAGTTTGATCATTAAATGATAGTTTCCGGGGGTGAGATAGAGTGAGGTGTTCTGATGCAGGAAATAGGAAAATGTTGTTGAAAGGCAGCAAACTTTGTATTAGGATGGATAAATTCTGGAGATCTTATTTTCAACATGACTGCTGATGTAGGGGTAATTCCTTGTTTCTTAAGAATCAGTAAGAGAATATTTAAGTGTCTCCGAACCACCCCAACATACACAGATGGTATGGGTGGTAATGTGTATTTTAACTAATTCAATAATTAATCATCATACATTGTATAACTATATCAAGTTATATATAATTACCTTATATACCTTGAATAGATAAATTTTCCATTCATCTATTTAACATTTTTTTAAATGAGATAATATCCAAAATGAAAAAGAGAAAAATCTGATAGTTGGATTTCTTTTGAGATGTTAAAAATGGGAGGATTTGAAGACTAAATCTTCTATAATTATGTTTGAAAATATGGCTCAGGGCCCAGCGTGGTGGTGCAAGTGGTTAAGGTCCTCGCTTTGCACGCCTGGGATCCCATATGGGCGCCTGTTCTATCCCAGCAGCCCCGCTTCCCTTCCAGCTCCCTGCCTGTGGCCCGGGAAAGCAGTCGAGGACGGCCCAAAGCTTTGGGACGCTGCACCCCCTTGGGAGACCCGGAAGAGGCTCCTGGCTTCGGATGGGCATAGTATCGGCCATTGCGCTCACTTGGGGAGTGAATCATCAGACGGAAGATCTTCCTCTCTGTCTCTCCTCTCTGTATATCCGCCTTTCCAATACAAAAATAATAAAAATAAATCTTTTAAAAAAATATGGCTCAATGATAAAAGTCATCACCCTGGAAAAAAGAATAACAAATAAAAGGAGTAAGTTGAGAGGGATAGGATCAATATTGTCATAACTTTATGATGTTTCTTATGTAACTTTAGGATTAGATTGAAGCAACACTCACATCTTTTTCATATGAAAGAAATGTATTAAAAATTTCAAAATTAAGATTCCTTTCAATATGATTTCACTTTTCTACTGAAAATTTAGATAGGATTAAACCTTTAATTTTTCTGTGTTTTTGGTAAAAATGCATTTCCAAGATTATTTGTCTGAACTCTGAATATTAATTTGGAATACTTTCATAAGAGAAATAAAATTTTTGCTGATGGTAATATTATCATCACATATTCTTAGCTATCCTTACAAAATTCATAGAAGCAAAGCTAATTGTTCAGTGCTTATGTTTGGTCAGAATTAAGACTTCCAAGTGAACATAATACATTCATGTTTATTTTCTGTTCTCTAGGTCAGGCTTTTTCAGGAGATTACAGTGAATACTTTGGACTACAAGTAGATGAAGATGCCTTGGTTTATCTGATGTTGGCCAATCATTTGGTTCACACACTGTATCCAGATTCTGTAACAATAGCTGAGGTAAAATCATAATGATCTCTTACCCTCTGACTTTGGTTAATTTAGAACGTTCTATCAGCATACTGTATTTGAATACTTAATCTCATGTTGTCAATAATTGCACAAATGAAACTACACGCTCACTATGGTATATTGTCTTGTATGGGTGGCACAGCGTTTAGAATTCCCTGTTCCCTATTATGAGCTAATGTGTAGTAAATTACTGTCACCCTTCTATTGTAAAAAGGAAAATGCCAGTGGTTACAAGCTAAAATATAATAATCCAGAGACAGGTACTTCTGCCAAGACTTTTAACAGAGGATAGAATTGAATATTTACAAGAATCTATTTATTTTTCTTCTTGTTTTGTCATTTGAGATGGCATGGAATCATACCTGTAAACTCCTCTGAATGCTTTCTTATTCTGCTATGATTACCTTTCTTGTTTATGCTATTGCTCTAACTTTGCCAAATGTTCACTAGTTATTCATGATTACTGAAGGTTCATGATTAACTGTCCCAAAGCTACATGTAATGATATAATTTTCTATATGCATAATTGACAATTCCCCTCTTGGTGATAAATGTGATAAATTAAGAAGTTTGTTAAATGCTTATGCTAATTTAAATTTAGTGCTAAAATCCCCTTGGTTTTCTGAGTCCTCTAACTAGAAATTATTATTAAAATTGAATTCAGTATGTTCTACGCAAAGTATAGTGTTTGGTGTATGAAAGAATTCCCACTGTTGCCAACAAATTCAAAGTTAGTGTTTATTCTCATGTGATTATAAGTTAGTGGAGTGAAATGCAGAGGTAAATATTCTCCCTTTAATATTTATTTTTTATATCAATTTTTGTAATTGTTACTAGAAACCACATTCTTCCAGCTCAATGTTGTGGTTTTATTTTTTATCTCTGGATAGAGAAGAGCAGTTGGGCTTTCTTCAGGTCTTCTAAGTTCTGTGTATCTTTCAGGAACCGAGTAGCAATCCTAAGTGGTTGAAATAAGTTATTACATAAGATTAAAATACAAACAAAATATCCTAATACAATATAGATACCTACTCTTATTTTATACACTCTGACTACATGCTTGTGTTCATAACACACATGTCTAACAAACGGCTTTGTTAGTAGTACTTGGTGGACTGAGTGTATTTTAAAATTAGCCAAATTGTATTTTAGATTTTTATTTTGTCTTTTATATAGTTCATCTGTCAAATGCAAAACAAATGATTATTTTGTTAGCTGTATTTTTGACAATACAAAGCTGAAATGTCACATGTGTCAAATTACAATAAACGATTAATAATAGCACAAAAGTTGGTACTAAAGAAAGAGAAGCAATTATTTAATACATGAAACTTAAAATGGTTACATTGATCTTTGTGTTCAATTCAAATAAAACAGTTTCACTGTCTAGGGAGCTCTCACCTGATTGTCAGCATTTTACCAATGAAACTTTGAGAGTTTAGCTTACTTACTTACTTACTTACTTTTTGAGTTTTTAAAAATAAGATCTGTGTCCAATTTATTCTACTGAAATCAAAAAGTATTTCAATTTCAATACATCAGTTTTCTGTCTACGGGGAGGGTCTTTAAAATATGAAATTGATCCTTATGACCTCTTCTTAAGAAGGGGAATGTTGTGTAATGAATAAATAATATCATTTTCTATAAAGTCTTATAGTAGCAACATAAATATACTTTTAATGAAAATTGCAAAGTAAAAACATTATTCTAGAATATATAAAACATTCTACATAATTAGATTTGTTATGTTACTTAAAGACATTTTTAATTTCAGTTTTTCCCTGCTGGAAGAGTCTGTCCAAGTCCTCTTTAACTATTAATGAACTAAAACTATTTTGTTGTTATTTAAAACACATACAGAGCATGTTCATGCGCTGTATCTGTTTACACTGCCTCTTTTGCGTATTTTTATTTTGTTCATTAGACTTACCTTTTTTCATTTTATATGTATATATACATAATGAAAAAAATATATATATCTATATATTCTTTTGAAACATGGAGAAAGGAAAAGAGCAGTTGTGCCACCACTGCCATCTAGGTGGGCGGGGCCAAGGTTTATTCAACCTCAGGACTTGGGTGGATGGAGCTCCCAGCAGTGTGGCTCAATGATTAGGGCCCTAGCCCCAGCTACCAAGCTGCCACTGCCAACCCCTGGGCGAATTCTGCCCAGTTAGTCGCAAGCTCTGAAGTCTTGGGTGTGTAGAATTACTGCCTAGGGACATACATGGATAAGGCCACTGTACATTTTGGTGAGGAAAGACTCCTGAGGGACTACCAATAACAAGGCCACTGTACTTGCAGATGAGCGAGGGGACTGAGACCTGGCCGTTTAGTGGGGAGAGACCAGAAAATCTGTATGGGTCAGACTGATGCACCAGCCCACATGGGAGTCCTGAAGTGGCCTTGTTAGCATGGAACATTGCTGACTACCACATGCCAGTCCACATGAAAGCCCAGGCTGGGTACCTGTCTAGCAGGGCTGGATCCCAGTACCTGACTGAATGTTGGAACAGGATACGGTTCACATTAAGTAGGGCATAACACTAACCAGTATGTGAGAGAACCAAGTCTGTGGGACATGTGGGCCAAACACAAGTCCTGCTGGTTAGCTCAAGAGTCGGAATGGAGACATTCTGAGCTAGGCGTGACCATGGAACCTTCCATCACTCATGGGTGCATGGATCAAGAATAGTTGGGGCTGGTCCAAGCTACAGCATCCATGTGTGTATCCTAAAATAGGGTATCAGGCGGACCGAGCTGCAACATTCACCAATTCATACAAGGCCAAGTTGGAGGGGCAGGCTATGCCAGGCAAGGACCTACCACCTAATGGCATGCATGAGATCTGGGTCTGGGAGTAGGCCGAGTGGGGGAACGTGGAAAACTCTCCTAGTGGGTGATAGTTCCTACTGGTAAGCACGTGGTCCAGGTATGGGGGTTGCGCAAGCTGTACAAGACAGTTCCAACTGTTGGCAAATGTGTGGGTTGGTTTTCAAAGGGTACAGACCTGGCAGGGCCAAGCAAACCTTAACTCCCTGGCAAGTGCAGAAGCAAGCCTGGAGCGCAGGCGATGCCAGGCTAAACACTTACAGCTACCAGTTTGCATTAGCTAGTGATGGAAGCAAACTTAGCAGAGTCAGGTTGCAGCACCTGCTAGCGAGATTGGTTCTGGGGTCAGGACAGTTTAGGCCAGGATACAGCATCTAAAGGCAAAAGCCGAGATAGGGAAGGGACTATGCAAAGCTGGGCAGAGTAACCACTGCCATGCAAGATCGATAGCTGGGAACAAGCCTGGTTGGGGAACTAAGGCAATGCCCTGGCTGGATTGTAGTTCACACTGTTGAGTGTGAAGGCCACAGTGAAGGCTGCTATCTGGTTTGGACATGGCTGCATTGTCCCTCGGCACAAGTGTGGACTGGGTCTGGTATGTACCAGACTGGGCTAGACTCCAGCACCCACTGGTGTTCATGAGAACCAGAGTAAGTATAGGATAGGCTAGGCTAGGTCTCTGCCCCTGCTGAGCCACGTTGAGCTGTGTTTGGATGTGTGTCCAGGCTTGGCTGGGCTATAACATCGAACAGTAACAACCAGAATGGGTTCAAGGCTAGTCAGGAAAGGCCACTATTTCTGCTAGGACAGGAGGTGGATTAAAGTGGGTCTAGCTCATGTACCCACCAATGGGCTCAAGAACTTGTATTGGGAGAGCTCTGAATGAGTAGCTTTGGGAACTCCTCTGTTGAGCCACAGTCCCTGCAGGTGAGTATAAGAACTGTTAGGTAGCAACCCACACCAGCCCAGGGCCACTCCCATTTGTATACATTTGGTACAGGTTGGAATGAACCAGGTAAGGCCAATTCATATCACACCATGACGAACCCGAGTACCAAAATGGAGTGTGGGTGGATCCTGGTTGGGTTGCAACAGAAGCCAGTTCACATGCAAGCCAGGGCTAGGGACTGGCTAGGCTAGGCTAGGCTATAGCTCCCTTAAGTGAGAGCTGGAATTGGGGATGGGTTGGGCCCAGCCAGGCTACAGCATCCACTGGCAAATACCAATGTAAGCTGAGCCATACCAGACTGGGTCACAGCACCCAACCATCACATGTGAGACCCAGGGGGCTGAAGCCAGTAGAGAGACTTCGTGGGGATTACCTTCTGGACATCCACTCCCACTGGTGAGTATCAGAGTTGGGATGGGGACAGACCAGGCCAGGCTGAGCTGTAACACCCGTTGGCCTCACGTGAGCTGGATCAGGGGAAAGCCAGGCTGGGATGACTTTTCCTACTGGTGCAAAGATAAACCAGAGTGGGATTCAGTTATTTGGGCTTTGTTGCAGCAGCAGCTGGCAGATAACTGGCATGGGGGCTAATTCTGTCAAGGTAAACTGCTGAACCATCTGGAGAGTACGTGATCCAGCAGGCTTGGAGCGGGAAGGAGGAGAACCTCAAGGTGGTCCAGGAAGAGTACATGAAGTGGGTCCTGGCCAGCAGTCTCACCTGTCAAGGAAGATACACCCCAAGCGACCTGGCTGGTGCTGCTGCCAGCGAGGCCCTCTTCATCTCTAACCACGCCTACTAAACGAAGGTGTCCTCAGCTGGTCCCCACTCAACACTCCAGGCTTCCTGCCCCCTCCCCCCTGCAAACTCACTCTTGAAGAGGGGCTTCAAGTGGGGGTTCGAGGCTGGGCTTCCCATCACTCTTGCCTCCCTTGTGGCTTTGGTGTGTGGTGTTGTCTGTGAACACTAACTCCATCACTTTCTCCAGCCCACTGCCAATAAACAGCTATTTAAGGGGGGAAGAGAAAAGAAAAGAAGAAGGAAAAGAAAAGAAGAGAAAAGAAAAACATCAATGCTGAATAAAATATTATTGGCTAGGTTTTTATTCTGTGATAATATCACAGAATGAAACATATAAATAAATGATATATATTAGATATTGTATATATTATAAATATTGTAATATTATAAATTTATTTATTATAAAATGTATTTATTTACAACTGTGTAAAATAAATAAATATATATATTACAGTCAGCTGTATTTATACTTCTATTTAATTATTTTGGGAATCTGAAGAATTCATTTGCTTCCTTTTTCCTATTTTTTTTTGGCAGAAAATGTGTGGCAAGGAAAGAGGGCCTCTGAGCTAATTCTTAGCACTCACTGGATAGTCTTCCATAGGCAGCAAGTGAAACAATGATCTCAGGAACACTTTAGAACGCAGCACAATTAGAAAAGCTGTGACAAACTAAGGACTGACTGCATTTCAGAGTGGTCAAAGTACTTACTCTTGGAAATGAGATGATAGGAAAAGAATTGGGAAGGTATAAGTTTCTCCATTTCAGTTTTTATAAATACACACTGGTCAGTTACCACACAACATATCATGTAGTCATGCCATGATAATAAATATATGTATGCATAGGTCCCAGTTTTTGAATCTCTGAAAGTCAGATATTTATTTACTAAGTACCCACTTTGTTCAATGCCGGGTGGTTCTCTTTGCTTCTACATTGTTGGTGCATGTCTGTGATTAAGAGCAGCAGTAGCAATAGTCACTGCTTTAATGATTCTTACATTTTAACAGGGAAAAGGGAAACATAATTGAATCGTAGATTACATAGTAAGTGCTTACTGTATGACTGATTGAATAGCTAAGGATTTTGATTTTCTGATTGTTGAATCTGGAAAGCTACTGAAGGACAGTGATTGGAGCAGAGTAGGTGGGACTCTGGAGGCAGATAGCATGAAGACATGGGGAAGATGAGCATGTCATGTAATACGTGAGGCATGTAGAAATGAAGACTGATTTTATGGCTTTGTGAAGATATTTATTTGAAAGGGGTTACAAAGTTAAAATTGATAATACCTTGCTCCTTTTTTTTGTTCTTCCCTATAGCTGTTGTCTGTTTAATTTGCTACCTATTGTTAATAGACTGTCTTCAGTTTCCTTTTCCACAAAAGTGCTCACAAATACTCCCCAGGGCAAAGCTGAAAAGAGCAAGAGTAACAGATACCTGGCCACTTCCATTTTTGAGATTGGTCAAAGCAGTACTAAAATAAGCTGTTACAAAATAAACCTAAACACATATGTTTTTGCAATAATAGTTTTCCCATTTTTCTCTTTAGAAGAGATAAAAATAAAAGCAGCCTTAAGAGGACAAACATATTAGAAAGGAGATATTCAGCAAAGCTCTTACTGTAAAATGAGTTATGCTGTCATGACTTCATCCACCTTTATAGTTATGACATCAAAACATCCCTGAGTTACACATCCCTGTATTGCTTGATCATCCCTGTCAGAAGAATGTAAATTTACAAGTTGGCCAATATGAACTTAAAATCTTGATGCAATTTGCTTTTAGGATGTATCGGGAATGCCAGCACTGTGTTCCCCAATTTCACAAGGAGGAGGTGGTTTTGATTATCGATTAGCTATGGCAATTCCAGATAAATGGATCCAGGTAAGAATCTATGTAAAAATCTGCCTACTCTCACTCCCATGACTTGAGTTTTATTTATTCTGCAGTTTATTTTTGGCTATGATTATCAGTTGCAATCATTTGCATACCTTTCATATGTATGTCAAATCTTTGGGTTTTCGTACGATATTTTTTCAAAACGTGTAAGCTCCACTTTTAAATAGTCACATTCACATTTCTATTAGGCAAAAGGGAAATGTAATTCATAAATTTTAGCCAAATAAATGAAATTTTGCATTGATTTGAAACTGCATTACCTTATATTTATAAAACATTAAACTCCTCCAAAGTATTTGTTTCTGCCTAGAAGTCATCCATTAATGTAGCAGTCACTGTGTAATTTCTAGTACTTACCGCATAGTATGGGCCTTTCTCAACAAATCTGGATTTGTCAGTTATTTCATTCAGCATTTAAAAGTCCTCACGCAGGCATTAGGAATGAGTAATTATACATGGTACTTTGCTCATCATTTTTCAATATAGTTTTATTAAATTTAATGGCAGCTCAAATAGTTTGGATTATATATATTTTACATTTAATGTTTGCCTAAAGGACTAAACCTATTATACATACTTCAGTTTAATTCAGAACATTTCTTAGTGGTCATTTCTATTATCATTGGCTCAATATGCATAAGGAGTCAGATAATGATAGCCTTTTGATGAGCCGGATAGTGTAGACATGGACTAGTCCCATGAAATCACAGTGGAAGAAGAGCTTAATTTTTTGTGGAAAAGCTATAGCAGCTACTCTGAAAGAACTGGTTTATTGTAATCATTTCCATTGGTCTTTCCTGCGTTCTCATGCAGTTTTCAAGGTTGTGAACTAGTGCGCTTTTGTCCATAATGATTACTTAAATGTTATCACGTTCAAACCTGGCATTTTCCAAATACCATCGGGTTTGCCAAACACACAAATGAGTGTGTTGTCTTTAGCACATTGGTACACTTTCTTTCTTCTTTTATTATTAGATGGTGCAAGCTGCATGTTTCTCACCTTGGTAAAATGTTATTTATCAGGCCTCTCTTTTCCTGTTTCTATGATTTCATTCATTCTTGTTTTATTACCTCACAAATTTTAGGGTGTTTTTTTTTTTTTTCAACTGATTTTCTACTGAAGACATGTCTCCATTCTTTGTATAGAACCAAAAATATTTCAAGTGGTACATCGAGCTGAACTTATTTTCTGATCACCCATAGCTCACAGCAGGTTACATTCTGAGTGCTAATGGCAGCTTTTTGAAAACCTTAAATTTAATAAGTAACTTTAGTGCTTTACATGGTTAACACATTGTACTCGGCAATGCATCCTACATATGAGAAGCAGTGTTTGTTCTATGTTTGTAATCTGATTGCCATATTTTCTTAGATTGTAATTGCTTGGAAGGGAGATGCCATCTCTATTTTATGTTCCTATTTAAAAATACTTTACCATAGTACTTACCATAAAATATTATTTAGCGAAATCCTCAGGGAGGTGATGTTGTGGCTAAGCAGGTTAAGCTGCCTTTGATGCTGGCACTTCACATCAGAAAGCCACTTTGAATTCAAACTCCTCTTTTCTGATTCAGCTTCTTGCTAATATATTCAGGAAGGCAGCAGGTCTGGCTGCAGTGCTTATTCTGCTCTCAGCCTTGTTGGAGAGCTAGATGAAGTTCTAGGTTCCTGGCTGCTGCTTGGCCAAGTACCACCTGTTGAATGCTTTGAAGGAGTGAGCCAGATTTGACTGTATTACCTCCCCATCTCTTTCACTTTCTTTTTCTCTTTCAAATACATAAATAAGTATGTTTCTTCTACTTTCAAAAAACTGTACATTTAAATAATGATAGAATTAAGAAACAGCATTTCTGCTCCAACGTTAATAAAATGCTAGAGTATTAAATCAATTAGCAACATTACCAAATGCATTTGGCACAAACTATTATCCTTCATATTTTTGTTGTTCAGAGAAAAGTATATACCATTTTATACTTGTGTTTTTTTTCAAAATCAGTACTTTGTAATATCATGATGTTATTTTAATCATTTACTGAGTAAATATTTGCCTATCTAAAGTATGCAAACTTTGCAGTATCTTGCTTAATTTGATCCTTTTTTAATAACTGAATTGTTCATGTGAGGCAATGTAAGTATTTAATTGAGCTCGTTTACTTACCTGATGATTCCATCGAAAATTTGAGAACATTGCCTGTGTTTTTATTATATCTACAGAATGCAATTACAGAGTCATAATATAGTTCTGTGGCTAATTTTCTTTTTAAAGAAACTGCCAACCTCTTTTGTGTATTGTACTCCCACAACCAATGCTTAGTTTTCTTGGCTTTGTGCGGCCTCACAGTTATTTAGTGATGTCATTCTTATTTATTTTTAAGATTAACTAGCCGCTAATCTTTCACTGTGGTTTTAGTTATATGAGATTGAATGTTTTTACTGGCCCTCTGGTTAAGTATTTGTTCTTGTCTCATGATCATTTTCTAGTTGAATTTTTTATTTAAAAAATTTTAGAGTTTTATATATATTCTAGATTTAATTTCTCTGTTGGACAATGGTTGACAAACACTTTGACCCAGTTTGAAGCTTGTCCTTCCATCTTCTTGTGGGCGTTCAGACAGCTAGAGTTTCTATTATCCTATTAAAAAAACATGAAGCCAGCATTTTTTATTTTATTTCTCTCTTGTTTTCAGATTTTTTAACTCCTTGACACTGTTTCCAGCTGTAATTTCTATACTCCCTTTTTTAAATGTGTAAAGCTATGATCTGTTTGAGTTAATTTTTATGTATTAAGATTTGCCATGAGGTCCTTTCTGCCCCACTTTACTAGTACCTTTACCTTTAATAATTGTGTTTATCTATGGGATCGATTCTGGCTCTTTTTTGAAAATTAGTCTGGCAGAGGTGGGCATTTTAGCGTACTGGTTTGTATAATGACATTTTTCTGTAGGCATTAATCTAAAGGTAGTTGTCAAGTGGTGGGGTAGGGATAGCTGCAAATGTCCAAATGTGTAGACAGAGCACAGCACAAGCACACACATAGCAGTCTACCCCATAGTCATTTGGACAATCCATGTAAAAGCTGAAGTTTCAGTAGCACTTCAAGCAGTGATATGTTATATATCTGGTTTATGTCTGCATTGGAAATAATTTGCATGGAAATGCACCAGTATACTCTCAGGATGGGATTTGAAGTCCAAAAATATTATGGCTTATTCAGATGTTTGTTATCTCTTGCATCTAGCTGCTTAAAGAGTATAAAGATGAAGATTGGAACATGGGCAATATAGTGTACACCCTCACAAACAGAAGGCACCTTGAAAAGTGCATTGCTTATGCAGAAAGTCATGACCAGGTAAGTTATGCATGCGTAAATAAATTTTCTCTCGCAATTTCCTTCTTCCTCACTTTGGTTCTTTCTAGTATATCTGCTATTGTAATTTAATACAGTTGATATAACAAATCTTTATGTATACCTGCACACATGCACACACACACAAAGAACTACCCCCATTTAAAATACATTTCAAATTGTCTTGTAGATGTAGAAATTCGAACTTCAATCTGAAGTACTATGTTTATTCTGACAACTGTGATTAATGGATTTTGCGTTATAGTTGCAAGTGTGACATGTTTTCCTTTGTCATAGTGAAGAATGTTGCTACTCATTCAAGATATTTTAAGTTTGCATTTTAGATTTCCTTCTAGAGATTTTCTTTTATACCCTTGAAAATCTCATCATTTTCCCTCAATCTTCCCTCAATCACTAAAATCTCAAGCACTGAAGTTGTATTCTGCAGCCAGGAATTTGTTCCCGATATCGCACATGGGTGGCTGGTGTCCAAACACTTGAACCATCTTCAGTTGCTATCATGGGTCCATTATCAAGAAGTTAGATTGAAGCTGGAAAAGCTGTGACTAAAACTATTGCATCAGTATCGGATGCTGGCATCCCAAGCAGTGGTTTAACACACTGGGCTACAGTGCCCACTCCTTTTGTAGACAAAAAGTGAAAAACAAGAAAGAAAAATAAATGACTATCATTTTTAAAGAATGAGAATGTATGTCATTCTTTAACCTGGTAAGGAAATTTTAAAATATTTAAATATATTTATGAAATAAATACTAAATAAAAATGCACGATTATAGGAAAAATATTTGTGTGAATTATTTTAAAATTTTCAGATATAGTCTTAACCCTATCAATTAAATCTATGAAACTGACTAAATTTTAAGATGTTTTTTCTTTATTATATTTAACTTTATTTATTATTTATGCTTATATAGGTATTTATGTATTGAAGTAAATATTTTATGTTGCCTTTTTAATATTTTAACTTATAAAGTGAATACATTTTTTGTATTAAATGATACGGTTTTAGGAGCATAGTGACACTTCTCGCCTTTTTTTTTCTCCTTTTTTTTTTTTTTTTTTTTTTAGCTTTTACAGTTCACTTTGCAATCAAAGGCATCATGCTCTGCTAGGAAAATAATTCAACAGCTAGCAAATGTAGAGATCTGCTAGTCCTCTTGGATATAGACAAAGTTTGTGAAAATAACCAAATCTCAAAATGTCAAGCTTGTTCATATAGGTTACATTTTTTCTTCTGTATTAATTACCACAAATCGGAAATATATATATATATATTCCGTGTATATATATATATATATATTCCGTGTATATATATATATATATATTGAATGTATATCAATATAAAATATTTTGATACATTGTCTTTTTAGGACAGTTGTATCCATTTTGTTGCAAAAGACAGGATTTGGATGTTTTTCTTTTGTTTTTTTCTAAGAGGGCAACTTAGCAAGAGAAGTTGGTTCATCTTGGAAATTAGGCAAAAGTTATCAAAATGATTTTGTGATTTTATGATCATGGAAATAAATGCACATATGTAAAACATAATTAAATAATTGATCAAGTAGGAATGACACATTGTTTAAGAATTAGTGCTATAAATCATCTTGCAAGAGTAAAGGTTAGGGTTAGAGTTAAGGTTAGGATTAACCATGTTAATTAAAGTAAATAGCAGATGCAATAAATTTGCAAGTAAAATAGTTTACAAGATTAAAAATAGGTTAAGTATCAGGTTTAGTTGATAAGATGCTGATAAGATTGTTTTAGATGCTTAGCATCTCATATTAGAGTGACTAGGTTTGATGCTCGCCTCTGATGATTTGAGCTTCTCACCAGTGGGGCTCCTGGAGAACAACAGTTGGGATATCTGCAGTGCCTTCCTGGCTCCTGGCTTTAGTGGACTATGTGGGTGTTTGGGAAGGGAGACAGTGATGAGAAGTCTGCCTCTGCCTTTCTCGTGTTGTGTATCTCTCTGCCTCTCAAATAAATAAAATAAAAACCTGATGAGAGTCGTTAGAGGATATTGGGATTGTGGGGTAATTTCTACTGTATATTTCCTTGTATATTATCATCAGTGATGATCTCTTCATGTTAGTTGTGTTTTCAATGCCTGAGTGTTTATTTCAGAGAAGCAAAAGCCTATATCTTCATGAAAAGTTATACAGAAATATCCAGGGCAATTTTGTTTACTATAGCTTGGCACTGGGAACAACACGGACAAGCTTTAAATTTAAAAGGCTAAACAATATGTGGTACAATCATATCCTGGTGTACTACCTACGTATAATAAGGAACCAACTCTTTTGTTTTAAATTAAAATATATTTATGTATTTGAAAAACTTGGCAACATAAAGTTTGTCATAGTACACATCTTCCATGAGCTCTTTGTTTCTTTGGTTTGTTTGGTTTTGTAATTTCTCTGGTTTTTAAACTTTTTCATGGTATAGTTTTGAAGGTTTAGGGATTCGTGTTCCCTCCCCTTCTTCCCTTTACCACCCCACCATTTGTCTCCATGATATCACAATAGTATAGTCCCTTTTGTTAGTTACAAATTGAACAGTCTGATATTTAAATGTATCAGGGCATGGTAAAATGAGCAAAAATATCCTAATGCAAAAGTTTATTTATGAGTTTCCTTGAGTGTCCTATTTTATTCAGTAGAGACACATATTGTGTAGTATTGACTTCTTGGCATGCTTGTCTCCCTTGTACAGTTCATATACATATATGTGTGTGTATGTAGTTATTTGTTTGCATATTGGTGTTTTTATCCACACATAATTTGGATTGTTAGAAATGCTGTCTGCTACTCTGAGCACTTCTATTACTTGTCTCAATTAATGATTATTAGCTTCCCTAGTGAGACAAGCTAAAGTTAGGTTAAATGGAAAATACAACCAGAAAGCAAAAATAGATTTTTTTTAAGTTGTCAAGCAATATTGTCTTCTGAGGGAAAATATATATATATTTCTTATCAGTTGTTCAGTTTCAAAACAACTGCACTCATGGAATACAAACTATTTTAAGAAGCTCTTTAATAGTTTCAACCTGAGAATGAATGTTTGTTTCAGATTTGAATCATCAGGTCAGAGACAGCAAATATTTTGGTGCTTTATCAAAAATTTTCACCAGACTCTTTCAAAGATAAAATTAATCCTGAAAACAAAGTGTTATCTTGAAACTATTTTACCAGCTCACCTTCAGCATGGAAAATAAGCATTGGAAAATATATAAACTAATACCAATGCATCTCTCCTACATTGTTTCCCATCCAGTATAAACATTTCTTATTCAAGTGTAAATCACAACGGCTTAGTACCCATTCTGTTCATTTCTCTCCGTGACTTTTATTTCTTTAGGCCCTGGTTGGTGACAAGTCACTGGCATTTTGGCTGATGGATGCCGAAATGTACACAAACATGAGCGTTTTGGCTCCCTTTACTCCAGTTATTGATCGTGGAATACAGCTTCATAAAATGATTCGTCTCATTACTCATGGGCTTGGTGGAGAGGGCTATCTCAATTTCATGGGTAAGTGTGAGTTAAACACAAATCTCAGCTGTGTTTAAAATGGCAACTAATATATATGAAATAGACTGTAGGATATTTTGATTTGAGTTTTTGGTTTTAATAGATTATGACTTTATTCCTTTTTTGAGACCTTGCCAGCTTCTAAGCTAGAGTAAAACAATGACCAGACAAGTGACTGACCCATTTTTGCATAATAAAAGCCTCAGAATTTTAATTTTTTGTTTCAATTTCTGAAGGATTCATTTATGTATTTTGAAGTCTGCATGACAGACATATGCGAAGATACAGGAATAACTGATTTTCCATCCACCGTTTCTTCCCTTAGATGATCCTCAGAGACAAGGCTGAGCTAGATTGAGGCAGCTCAGATTCCAGCCAGGACTCCCAAGCAGGTGACAGGAAACCAGTTAATCAGGTGATTGTCTTCTGCTTCCCAGACAGATTAGTAAGAAAGTGGGTCTGAAGTATAGAAGAAGTGGTTCTCAAACCAGGAACTTGGATATGTAATGCAGGAATTTCAAGTAGTGGCTTAACCCTGAGTATCATATATCCTGCTCCTCAGCTATCTCTTTCTGCAAGTATTTGTGAAATTTCAGATTAGAATTTTATTTAAAAATTTATTTATTTTTATTGGAAAAGTAGATTTACAGAGAGGAGAGACAGAAAGAAAGATCTTCTGTCCACTGATTTATTCCCAAAATGAAGTAATGGCTGGAACCGATCTGATTCAAAACCGGAGCCAGAAGCTAGGAATTTCCTCTAGGTCTCCTACACAGGTGTAGTGTCCCAAGGCTTTGGGCCATTGTCTACTGCTTTCGCAGGCCACAGATAGGGAGCTGCATAGAGACTGGAACAACCAGGACACAAACTGGCACCTATATGGGATCCTGGTGCATGTAAGATGATAATTTAGCCCCTGAGCCATTGCACTGGTTCTCAGATTGGAATTTTAAAAATATTTGCTAACTTGATGTTAAGAAATCCAAGGAAGAATACATCATATTTGTTGATTTATTTATTTGTGTTTGTGTTACCTAAGCCTTTGGGTATACTTCTGTTTTCTCATCAGAGTCACCAAAATTGCTTAACATTCTTAGCTTGCTACAAAGTGGTCTCTCTTGTGCATGGAGGCCACATGTACTTATCAGCCAGGTAGGCACCAGGCCAGGTTTTCCTGCTGATCTTGGCAATCATAAGATTCAAATATAAGTCTACCTTAATGCCTTAAAAACAACTAGTTCTGCATGACCCAATAAGCATCCTTCTCCAAGATGGCCAAAACTGTAAGGTCTTGGTTGCACAGTGAATGTGTTCATCAATATCCTGATGAAATACAGTGGCGTCTATGCATCTGTGCTTATATTTGTGTTGCTGTATAAACTAAGAAAGTTTGGGCAGTTACTATGAAGTTTAAAATGTTTTATTTTGTTATCAAAGAAAGCTTATTATATAGTTTCAGTCTATAGAAAATAAGTGCTTACAATCTCGGAAAATAAATCAATGTTTTTTCAAGGAAATGAAATCAAATAAACATCTGAGTTCATGCAATCAGCCCTAGGTGGTTAGCTAACTCTTAAAGCCAACTGCATCTGAAAATCTAGAACTCGCATGTAGGACTACAGTCTTAATCTGGAAGATGTGTAAGAGGTGTCGGCTCACAGGACTCTCCTGAGAGTTTGTAGTGTCAGTCATTGGAGGTATATTATTGAATCTTTTAAGACTGAATGAAAGACACCAACTTGGGCATGTGGCACCTGGTACAGTCCCTGGCAAATATCAAAATAAGACAAAATTATCTGCACCTGGCCAAAGCTAATTTAAAAAATCCCTTTTGCATAAGAAAGATTTGGTGGAGGTTTATAATATCGACTATTAGCTGAGTCTTAGTGTTATCACTGTGATAGAACGTATTCTGCAGAGCTGAGGCACTTGATATATCTTCAGTAAGTGCATCAGCTTTCTGAAATGTTTGTATTAATGTCCTTTTAACTGTATAGTCATCTCAGGCAAACTGATCATCTAGTAGCAAAATAATAATTAAAAAACATAATTAATTATTGCTTAAATTCATCATTTTTACAGCTATACACTCAGTAACATCTGAATGTTTCTATAATTTCCAATTTTGGTAATTTTAAAATGAAATTTCATGCCTGCGTCTGCTATCCTGACCTTAAATGTCTTTTCCCCCAAATTTCTTGTTTCTGTCCAATTTAAAAGCCTTTCATAACTGCTGTGTTCTCCAGCTGACCTGTCAGCTGCTCATGAAGCATCTCCCATGGGTCTCCCTCTTGATCTCTGCTCCAGGCGAGGCAGTCTTTCAGTTCACTGAATGTGGCAGCCACTCCTTCCTTTCTGTGCTCCGTTCTTTTGACCATTTTCCCACCAGGAATTGTTCCACTCAAACATGCTCACACCCCCTGCACCTGACCAAATTCTCCATCTTCCATCTCCTTTCCCAGAACCTCAAATGATGTTACTATGTCCCATTATTTTATATAATATCCTCTAATTTTTGTTTCATAGCATTTAACAATTGAAAAGCTAGTAAATGCACACAATTTCCCTGATCAATATTTATAATACACAAATAGGACTCTTCCATCATTTTTAATAAATTTTAATTTAATTTTTTTGCCTAATTTTAAATTCCTTTTTATTTATTTCAAAGACAAACAGAAGGAGAAAGGCAGAGATCTTTTCCACCATTGATTTGTTCTCTAAATGCCCATTACAGCTGAGTGCAAGCCAGGTCAAACCAAGACCTCTATCTGGATCTCCAGTGGTGGGTGGCAGCAACCAAGTCTTGAGCTGCCAGGTGCTGCTCCCAGGTCTGTGTAAGTGGGATTGGAAAAGAGCTAGGACTAGAACATAGGCATTTCAGTAAGGGGTGCAAGTACTCTAAACAGTATCCTAACCATTAAGTCATACACCTTGTCCAATCACTTACTCAATATTATTCACCTCCAGTGGCAAGAACAGTACATGGTTGCAGGGGTGAGAGCCATTTTTTTTTTCTGCCAAGAATCATTTGGATAACTACAATATTATTGGCAGATCATACAAAATCATGGGTGTAAAAATGGCTTTGTTGATTTATTAAACTTCATTTCTTGCCTGCATCGGTCTTGGCAAGGTTACACAAAATGATTTTTCAGGCTTTATATATCCCGCATGAAAGTTCCCCACTCCCAGTTGGACATCAAAAAATTCTTAGCATTTTATAGAAGGGTATAAAATATAACTAATTATGTTAAATGATATGAAACATGTGCTCTGTATATAGACATAATGGCATGTTGTATTTTTGTACATTGTTTTATTTTAGTATTAGTTCATTAGCTGCAGTCATCAGTTGTAGCTATCAGTATCTGTTCAAGTGGTATGTCCTACAATAATATTTTAAAAGCATAAATTAAAAAAATAATTTAAAACTGAGATCATGCTGATTGTTATTCATGTTTTAGGTATTTTAATACTTATTACCTTTATAGAATTCTTATAGCTCCTTCCAGTATGAAATGAGTTAAGAGAAGTAAAAGAAAATTGGCCTTTTAATGTTTTTTCATTAATTCACCTTTGCATGAATTTCTGCATCAGACATATTTGGTCCTATGTTCATTTCAAGCAGAATTAATTTATTACTTACATAAACCACAGAATAGACCCAGGCATTTAGCCTGTAGTTAAGTTTCATTGAAATGCACTATCATGTTTTACTATTATCAGTTTGTTTTAACCTTTCTTAAGGTTTAATTTTATTTGAAAGGCAGAACAGATTTACAGAGAGGAGAGACAATTTCCATCCACTGATGTACTCCCTAAATGGATGCAAAGGCCGATGCTGATCTGGTCTGAAGGCAAGAGCTTGTTCTGGATCTCTCATGGCGGTATAGGGTCCACAGGCTTTGGGCCAACCTCTACTGCTTTCCCAGGCCATAATTGGAGAGCTTGAAGGGAAGTGGTGCAGCCAGGACATGATTCAGTGTCCATATGAGATCCTGGTTCTTGAAAGGTGAGGATTTAGCCCTTGAGTCATCATGCCAGGCACAATGTTGTCAGGTTTTTTTACATTAAATATGTAAAGATTATGAATGCTGTCATTATAATTTCATCAGTTAAAATATAAACACAATATTATTTAATTAAATGTTTAAGTATTTCAGTTATTCTCACTTTAAGCTGTCGCTAAAAGTAATAATTCTTTTAAAAAATCGATGAAATTCTTCCATTTTGTTATGTTTGGTAAGTTAAGGCACTCTTGTGGTCATTGTCACCCACAGCAAATATTACTTGCTTTTTGGTTTTATACCAACAACTGAAGGCTACTATAAAATCAATATGAGCTTTCATGAATGAGGAGATGCAATGGTTACCTCATGCGTTTCCAGTTATGGGATATGCTGATGACACGTTGAGCAGTTCACATTTATTGTTTATCAGTTGTGAACTTTCCATGTGTAAGTGTAATTGTGTATACAGTAATACATATATGTATATATATATATATTTGTAGAATATCAAGGAAAATTTAATGTTTTTCTAATATACTTAGGAACAGGATTTCTTTACAAATACATATAGAGAGGGAGAGAGAGAAAGCAAGAGTGTGAGCAAGAGGAAGGGGAACTGTGAGGAGACAGAGTGACTTACGCAAAGGTCAGTGTAGGAAGTTGATGAATTTGATATTTTCAGTTAAACTACAAACTTAGTATGTTCACAGCACATTTCAAAATGTGTTTTAACGCAGCTTAAGTAATCTTTCATGCCTCCGACATCTTCAAGTACATTTCCTATGCACTGGATATTCCTACATGGGGAATATTCAGAGTTACAAAAAAAATGTTACCCTCAAGGCCTCAAACCCCCATAAAGAATGTAGACAAGTAAGAGTCTTATATTAGTTCTTGCACTACCTTGCAAATTCCTGAGATGTCTCTGATGTTAATGGTTCAATAGATCTGCGGGCTTTCTCTTATAATTTAATGGCTGCAGCTTAG